TCCTGACGCGGGCTCCGTCTCAGTGGACCCTCTCTTTAGGCGGCGTCCGGCACACGCGGACGCCGCCCCCTCGCGGCTGGCCAACTAATGCGGGTGGAGGGGAGAACCCATCCCGTCCACCCGCGGCCACACTCAGGGCGGCATGAGGCGCAGGTAAGCGCGCCTCCGCCGCCCGGTTCGCCGGCGGCGGATCGAGTCCGAGGGGGGGTCGTCCTCCCGGGCCTTCTCCGCCGCCTCCTTCTGCGAGATTACCTCCTCGCAGAAGGTTGCGACCGCGGTAAAACAACTGTCGCTACCGGCCATGGAGCGAATTACGGCCGGTAGCGAGAGATCTGCTCCGATGACTGCAGTGAAGGGCCCGGCGCTGCGTCGCCCATGCGGGGCAGAACCGCCAGCGTGTGCTGGGCCGAATCCTCACTGCAGTCGCAGTGGTGGCAGGCGGGACTCGATTCCCTCCTAGCGACCGAGTACAGGTACTTTCCGAAGCAACCGTGCCCGGAAAGCACCTGCGTCAGCCGGAAGGAAAGGGTCCCGTGCTGCCGCCCTGCCCACTCGGCGATGACCGGCTGGAGAGCCTCCACGGCGGCGAAGCCAGCGCGTGGAGTCTCCAGCCGGAACGACCATCTCACCATGGTGGCTCGGCGAGCGGCTTCGCGCCACTCGCGCACGTCTTCGGGCGGAGGGCGAAATCCGCTCTCCGCCCGGAAGTCAGCCACTCGCCGATAAACTTCGGCGAGCACTTCCGCCTCCAAATCCCACGGGGGTGTTCCGGCCAAGGCGCAAGCCGCCTCGGTGGACACCGTGCGGTATCCGCGTATGGCTCTGACCGCCAATATCCTCTGGGGGCGCCAGAGGCGCGCCCTATTCGGGGCGGTCAGAGCCGCCACCCACACCGGTGCACCATAAAGCGCCATGGACCGGACAACCCCCGCGTACAGCCGCCTCGTGGGAACACTGGCCCCGCCCAAATTGGGCAAAAGTCGCCCTAGGGCGGAGGCAGTGTCCACCAGCTTCGGACCAAGCTGTCGGAAGTGCTCGTCGAAGAGCCACCTACCGTCTAGGACCACCCTCCAACCTTCCCATGGCCCTACCAACCTCTCGGTTATAACGGGCCGAAGCACGGGAGGGACACGCGCTACTTGCTCGGGGCCTTTCACGCGTGTCCTTTCTTGACTCCCTACATATTGTTTATCTCTATGTCCGTCCCTATTTGTCTTTGGACACTCTCCCCTTTCTGGGGCTTGACGTCACATAACGGCGACTTCGTGTTCGCGCTCTATAGCCGCCGTTATCATCGCTCCAATTTGCTCCTAATGTCGTGCCACCCGTGCGCGAAGTCCCGTAGCTGCCTGAAGTTCGCCTCAGAGGAAACCAGGTCACCGTAGTACACCGGTCCGTCTTCGAGCCTAGTTATCCCATTCAGTAACCTACTCCTTTGTTCCTCATACAGTGGGCATTCCCACAACACATGATGCATATCCTCTTCTACGCCTAATCCGCAGTAGCACTCGCTGACTTCGGTTAGCTTCAAATCACAGAGCCTTTTTCGAAAGCAACCATGTCCGGTTAAGATTTGCGACGTTTCATAGTCCGGTTCGACCCAGGTTGCCCCGAGTCTCACCGCCACGTCAGGGAAGAACCGATATGTTTCCCTCCCCTTCTCTGAGGTGTCCCACCTGGTTTGCCAGGCGTCGACAACGAGGTCCCAATTGCGACGTTTCTCCGCCGCTAGCTCCACCTTGGTCGCGTGCTGTGTACGCGCTACGCCTAGTCTGCCAGCACGGATTACCTCGAGGTCAGCCGGAAGTACGCCGGCCAATACCGGGAGGGCAGAACTGCTCGTCGTTCGGTACGCCTTGGTCAGAAGGACCAAGGCCGGTCTCTGGGTGCGCAGAAGCGCGCTCCGCACAACGTGTAGGGACGCACGCTCGTACCAGCATACGGCAGCGTACGTCACCGTAGCGACGTACGTACCCTGGTACAACACCCGGAGTGCCCTATGCCTAACCCCCCATGAGCTCGCCGACACTCTCGACATCTTGCCGAAGCAATTTGCCGCCCGTTCCCCAATGGATGCTGCGTGCTGAGCAAACGACAGGCTTGCGTCGATTACCACCCCCAAGACTGTGGTTGACGTGACGCTCCTGATCGATTCGCCGCCGAACCTGATGGTGGGGGGACGCTGTAGTTTCCCCCTCAGAGTCATCGTAGACGACTTCGAGGAGGAGAATTCCAGCCGATTTCTGGTCCCCCACTCACCGACGAGTTGTAAAACGGTAGAGGCCGTCGCCTCTACTCTCGCCCGGGAATCCGCCTCAACCAGGATCGTCACGTCATCGGCGTACGCCACAATCTCCACCCCCCCAGGGAGCGGCAACCGAAGCAAGTCATCCATCAGGACATTCCAGAGCGTGGGTCCCAACACCGATCCCTGCGGGCAACCCATAGTTGCCGTCTTCCACTCGACATGATTGCCAACGAACAAGCCAACGCGCCTATCGACGAAGTAGCCCGCAAGCATCGAGTAGATGTTACGCGGGCAACCCCCCCGCTTAGCCTTCAGCAAGATCATGGGCCACCATGCGTTGTCGAAGGCGCCAGAGATATCAAGAAAAACGGCTTGCACGTACCGAGACGAACTGTTCCTAGCAGATGAAAGGAGTTGCAGAAGTGCAGACTCCGTCGACCGTCCCCGAGTGAAACCATGCTGGCAGTCCGACAGCCCGCGGCTGATCTGCGGGGCGCACTTTAACATGACGCGCTCTAAAACCTTACCAAGTATGGGTAGCAACGTGATGGGGCGGTACGCTTTCGGGTCGGTAAGGGGCTTGTCGTTGCCTTTCGGCAGTACAAGCAGCCTACCTTCCTTCCAAACGTCCGGAAAAATTCCCTCTTTTATGCACCTAGCAAACACCTCAGTGAAGTCACCGGCCGCAGCACGCCAAACGTGTTTGACGATGCGCGCCGAGATGCCATCGATTCCCGGAGCAGTGTTAGGCAAAGCCCTGACTATACTATCTAGATCTTGTACCGACGGAGAGGGGGCATCCTCACCTGAGGGCGAGCACGCAGCCGCCAAGCGCACCTGTCGATGATAAACATCGTCCTTGGACAGGTGGTCGTCCGGACACAGGCTATGTATAAGGCTGTGCGCGGCCTCGCGCACGCTCCCAGCATACCCTTCGGCAAACTTTGTCCCACTAATTACATTGCGTGGAGGGCGAACCCTCCCGCACGCGGCACGGTAAGCAAGACCCCAGGGGTCCTGATTACCGGATTCGGCTATGTCACGAAAATATTTAAGTTGCGCCCTCTCCATGGCCGCTCTATATTCACTCCTAGCACGATGAAACGACTCTCTTGCCTCAATTTCCGCTTGGCCTGCCCGTTTCCGGGTACGTTGCCACATCCTCCTTTTGCGCATGTTCTCAACCCGATGCCTCTCAACCTCGTTTGTCCACCATTCATAGCCATTGTCTCTCTTACTTTCACGAGATACCCCAAGGGTATCTTTCGCTGTTCTTACAATTATACTATTAAACTGCTTACATACCGCGGACGCCGGCGTGCTCCATTTAATACAACCCATACGCTCGTGGATTTTCGATTCAAAGAGTTCCCAGTTTGCACGGCGATCCCGGAACCTAATCGGCAGCCCCCCCTGCAGCTCAGCGCGTGGAGCAAATGAGCCTGAGCTCGCCACACTGAAGGTAATTAAGCGATGGTCGCTGGAACTGGCTCCAATGTGAACTCTCCAGTTTAGAATGTGCACGCCCCTGGTGTGTAGCGTTAGGTCAATGTTGGACTCCCCGTTGGCGGTGCTGAATGTGTGCGGTTCACCGGCGGCATTCGCAATCTGTAGATCTCGAGCCAAAATAAAGGCCTCCATCGACTCTCTCCTGTGGGTTACATCAGGTCCTCTACCCCTGTATTGCCGCGTTTCGGAGAACCACATCGGGGAGTGGGCGTTGGTGTCGGCACATATAATTACCTTCTTACCGCGTAGGTGGTCTAGGACCCGCCCTAGCTGGTCCAAGTGTAGATCTATGTCATCACTGTACTTGAAGTAGGAAGAGACGACATAAATGTCGTCCCCACCCACACTCAAGCAACAGACCAGACAGTGAGTATTGGACAGATGGTAAAGTGTAGCACAGGGCAGGTCAAGGCGCGGTAAATACACGCCAGCTTGCGCACGGGAGCCACACTGCAAGATGCTAGTGGCTTCGCTTGGGGGCATGGAGAACTGTTCCTGTACCAGGACAGCATCCAACCCCAAGTCCCGCGATAAGGCTGGGAGCTCCCTGGTGGCGAGCTCACCCCCCCCCAGGTTTATCTGACCAATCTTCACCATGGCTCTACAATCCATAGTTAGTAGTGGAGATCAGCCTTCGTTCCGCGTTCTGTCTAGCGGGGCAGTCCCGAGAAGCCGTTGCGTGTGTGTTGGCCGACTGATGGCCAAACTTTGTGCAGGTCGCACAACAGGAGGTTGGCGACTTGCAGTCCTCCATTTTGTGGCCTTCCTTGCCACACTTGCTGCACGTGTGCGTGTTAGCGCGGCACAGCTTCTCCGGGTGACCGTATTGTTGGCACTTGTGACAGCAGGTCACCTCCGCGTAGTCCTCCACTACTACTACCTCCCATCCTATGTAGAGCCTTTCCTTGGACACTAGCGCTGTTCGTAGTGAGGGGGAGCATGCCAGCACTACCGTGGTCCGGTTTCCACCTCTTCTGGACTTTTTAAAGGCCATCCTGGCTTCTTTCTTCAGCTTCTCTAGTGTCCATGTCGAATCTTCTTTAAAGTTTTGGTCATGCATGGCTGCAATCACGTCCTCAATTTTCGGATCGCCCTCCAAGTTTCTCAGGGCAACTAAGGGCGACCTTGATTTGGCGTCCCTAACTTGCAGGGTCGCCGGCATTGCCGCCTTAATTTTTGTTGCCGCTTCTTGAGTAGCGGTCTTCAGGATTAGCCCCGAGTTGGCGACCCGTCGTAGCCCCACTATTTGGGCTCCCAGCTGTCCCGGCTCGACTGATTTTTTCAGGACCATTTTGGTCTGTTCCGCTGTTTTCAAATCACTTCCTTCCGCCGGGTATATCGCCAGGGTCGCAGCGGGAGGGGGGGGAATTCTTAAGGGTGCTGCTTTTGGGGCCCGTTTCAAGGCCCTCGCATAATTCACGGTCTGCCAGCCGTCGCTAGTAGCACCGATCGTGGTGGAGGCTGCCGCTGCTTCCAGTTTTGCCCGCTCGGCCTCGGCTTCCGCCCTCGAGGCACGTTCGGCCTCTCGTGCGCGGGCCTCATCCAGCATGTTGTGGTGCTTCTGCATCTCTGTAACCGCACTTTTTTGTCCCTCCACGGTGACGCAGCAGTGCCCCACAATCTCCATGATGACCCTGAGCTGTCCGCTTATGGACGCTAGATCCGCCTTATTGAGGCGGGATGCCTGCCCGCCCGCTACCGCCGATATACTGCGGCACGCCGCGCTGGCCTTGGCGAGAAGTTGTCTCGCCGACGCTCTGGCCAAGTCCTCGTCCCCTAGCAGGAATTCGTCGTCGCCCGACGAGAAGGGCGACCCGTATTCTGTGGCCGGGGTGTGCACTATGGGAGGTGCAAGATGTTCAGTTTGGCCACTGGCCACCGACAGATCGCGGGCAGTGCGGCGCTTGGGGTCCGTCTCAGCCTGTGCGTCCGGCGAGAGAATGCGCTTTGCGGCGCCTGGGCGTTGGCGTTCTGGCGCCAAGGGCTCAGGATCCTGCAAGGGTGCGGGAGAGAACGTCGGGGTGGGGGGATATGCCGGGATACTCCTTGGCGATGCCGCAGCGAGGACAGAGTCGAAGGCCGCCTGCGCCAGCTCCAGGACCTCAGGCGGCGTCCTCATGACAACATCCCGGGCCGCGCGCGGCTCCGTTGGTGGGGTCCTCCGCAGGGATCCCCGAGGCCTGAATGGGTCCATCGGCCGAGGGGGGGGGCGCCCCCCCTCTTCCGAGGAGCTGCTCATATCTAGGTCTACACTACTATGCTATAGAAGTATGATACAAACAAGAAAATAAAAAAAAAATAAAAATCTATGTACGGCGGTTATGTGCCCACCGATGGGATAGACCTGTAGTCACCACTATTGTAGTGAAACAATTCACGAACCTGAGGTTCGCGAGTACAGGTCGTCGATGCAACACAGCCGCAAATGTACTTGGAGGCACTCACCCCTACCGCTCCAGGTAGTGTATATAGGCGCACACGCAACACGTGCGCCCTCTGCCGGTGAAACGCACACACTAATTGGTTAATGTTACCAATGATATTACAGCGCCCTCTATGGGCAAAACACGAACACAGATATTAACTGGGATGTGTCACTAACACTGCGCCCTCTGTAGGCAAACACGCGCACTACTAGTAAGAGAACTAATTAAACGTCACTGTCGCACTTATCGCGGTTGTGTCACTGTCACTAGTGTACCGTACTAGTGTACCGTCTAGGACCAGACCCAGGTACCTCATCTGGGCCCGGACCGGTACGAGGACCGAGCCGACCTCGATTGAGGCGCCGGCGGGCGGACCACGACGGGGCCCATGAAATAATAGGGCCTCCGTCTTATCCAGGGCCACCCGCAAACCCAACGCCTCAATGCGCCCGACCACCAGGGAAACTCCCGTGGCGGCCAGGCGCGCCGCCTCATGGAAGTTAGCCCCCCGGGCCGTGAGCAAGGTGTCATCCGCGTAGCAGATTACACCCAGCCCGGGGGGGAGACGCCCTCGTAGGGCCCAGTCGTACCCGATGTTCCACAGGAGAGGTCCTAGGACAGACCCCTGCGGAACACCGCACGACATGGCCCTGCGTCTCAAGACGCCATCTCGGTCCTCGTACATGACGGTTCGCTCCTCAAGATAGTCTGCCACCAGCCGCCTCAGGTACTCCGGCACTCCGTGGTAGCGGAGCGCTTCCCTGATGAGTATGACTGTAACCTAACCTAACCCCTTCGGGTTAGATTTTCCAACAGTACTTCAAGTGAAGAAAAATAATCTACTCGAAGGGAAGGACTGTAATATACACTGAGAAGTCGTTTTGTGTTTTGGAGTAAGATTTCAATGAATAAATGCTCGCCAGCATTTGTGGGTGTGGGCTGAGATGACATATTCACTATGGAGAAAGGGCTGTGGGATCGAATATACATGGAAACTCCACCGCCACGTCCACAAATACGATCATTCCTTACCAGCTGAAAGCCTGGTAACGAGTACGTTACTGCGGAGAGGCATGGCTTGAGCCACGATTCTGATACAACAATTGCGTGGATATTCGTAAAGTCAAAGGCTGTCAGCATATTAGAGAAATGTGACGGAATGCTTTTGGGCATTTATTTATTTATTTATTTATACTTCCTGCAAATACATTGCATAAGGCGGACTTAATGCCATAGGCATTTTCTTCCAGTCAACCTTGGGGTCATGCAGAGATTTGTGTGTGGCAGGTGTATAATGAGATAAATTTTTTTAAATTGTAGTCGGTTGCAAGATGTTTTACTGCACAGATATACAGGGATACATATATAGATGTAAATATAATTTATACGTACTATATAATACTATAAATATAAGAAAAAACATAAACATACACACATGCATCCATACATATATAACAATAATAATAATAGATAATAAGAAATAAACGTTATTATTATTATTATATATGCCTGCATTGATGAACACACGAGGGGTTATTTTGATGTCTCCGTCAACAAGTCCCCAAAGAGCTTGCGTACTCTGATCTTAAAGGTTGTTCGGTTGTTGGATGTCCTGATCTCTAGGAGAAGGGCGTTCCAAAGATTTACCGCTTGAACAGTGAAGGAGTAATGGACGATACGGGAGTTATGTGAAGGACAAAGAAGGAGGAAATTATCAGCGGAGCGAAGGCTTCTGTCATGGTTGGAGCAGAGATATTGCAGGTGGGATGTTAAGTAAGTAAGTAGTTGAGGTAGGTGTGTGGAGAAGCTACGAGGGCGTCTCCCCCCCGGGCTGGGTGTAATCTGCTACGCGGATGACACCTTGCTCACGGCCCGGGGGGCTAACTTCCAGGAGGCGGCGCGCCTGGCCGCCACGGGAGTTTCCCTGGTGGTCGGGCGGCCTGGTGGCCCCGTCGTGTTCCGCCCGCCGGCGCCTCAATCGAGGTCGGCTCGGTCCTTGTATCGGTCCGGGCCCAGATGAGGTACTTGGGTCTGGTCCTAGACGGTAGGTGGCTCTTCGACGAGCACTTCCGACAGCTTGGTCCGAAGCTGGTGGACACTGCCTCCGCCCTAGGGCGACTTTTGCCCAATTTGGGCGGGGCCAGTGTTCCCACGAGGCGGCTGTACGCGGGGGTTGTCCGGTCCATGGCGCTTTATGGTGCACCGGTGTGGGTGGCGGCTCTGACCGCCCCGAATAGGGCGCGCCTCTGGCGCCCCCAGAGGATATTGGCGGTCAGAGCCATACGCGGATACCGCACGGTGTCCACCGAGGCGGCTTGCGCCTTGGCCGGAACACCCCCGTGGGATTTGGAGGCGGAAGTGCTCGCCGAAGTTTATCGGCGAGTGGCTGACTTCCGGGCGGAGAGCGGATTTCGCCCTCCGCCCGAAGATGTGCGCGAGTGGCGCGAAGCCGCTCGCCGAGCCACCATGGTGAGATGGTCGTTCCGGCTGGAAAAACGAAAACGAAAACCAAATTGGTTGTCGTCCAGGTCCGGCCCCTCCCTGCACAAGTGGCTGACGAGGCGATCTGCGATAATGCGCTCAAAAAGTTTGCCCGCCTCGTCGAGCAGCACTATGGGCCGATACGCGGACGGCGAGTCCGCGGGGCGCCCCTCCTTCCTGAGCAGGACCAGCCTCCCCTCCTTCCACACACTGGGAAACTGACCCCGCTCGAGACATGCCGTGAAGAGCCCCCTTGGCTGGGGCTCTAGCTCCTTCAGAGCCAGGACGAGAGCTCGACCAGGAACTCCGTCGGGCCCGGGCGCTGTGTTCTTAGCCCGGAGTCGCGACACGGCCGCTCTCGTCTCTGCTTGCGTCACCTCGGGGACATCGGTGCTCTCCTCTTCTGGAGAGTCTGTGGCTGAGGGTGAAGCCATCGCCGGGGGAACGTGTCCCGCTCGATCCGGGAAGAGGGCCGAAACCACCGCCTCTAGCAACTGGGGTTGCATACTTTGCGTAAGTGGAGGCGCCCAGGGACGCAACTTGCCCCGTACCCAACGGTAGGGGCGCCCCCACGGATCCCGATCTAGGGACCCCAGCAGCTCCTCCCTGGCAAGCAACTTAGAGTCGCCGATGGCCAGCCACAGAGTCTTTTTGGACGCGCGGTACACCTCATACAGCGCGTCTTCCTCGACGGAATCCCGTCGACGTCGTCTCCGGTATCGCGTGTACCGGCGGCGAGCCGCAACGCACTCTACGCGCAGCCGCGCGATCTCGTCGGTCCACCAGTACACCCGGCGCCTTGTGGACTGTTGATGGACACGGGGCATGGACGCGTCGCATATATGCGTCATCGCCCGGCGAAACCACAGCGCTACCGCTTCGACGTCGACGGGGCCGTCCGTCGCCGACTCCCAAATCCAGGACTGGACTAATGCAGCTTCCTCGAGTAGTTCCTTGTCGATGCGCTTAAGCGCCCAACGCGGGCCGTCGTTAATCGTGGTTGTTGGATGGCGGCCGCTCGCGGTCTGGGCAGAGACGTCGAACCGGATTTACCGATGGTCCGACAGTGTCTCCACCTCCACGGCGACACGCCAGTCGTGGACTCGGCTGGCGACAGAGGGGCTAGCGAACGAGACGTCCACTATCGACCCGCCCCGCTGCCGCACGCACGTGTATTCCGAACCCCGATTCAGGACGACCAGACCAGTCGTCACCGCCCACTCTTCTAGCGCCTCGCCCCGAGGGTCAGTGACCGGAGATCCCCACGCCGATGACTTGGCGTTGAGATCCCCGAGCAACAGAACGGGACGAGGATGATAGCGGCCTACGACGGCGCCCAACTCGACAAGGAAACCCTCAAAGTCGACGAGACTCTTGTTGGGGGAGAAATACGCCCCCACAATGACGATGCCGCCCGAGACCGCAGCAACCCAGCCGCGGCCCCGAGACGGATCGATCAGAGTCTCGCCAATAATGGCCACCAAACCGTCAGCGCACCCCAGCCAGTTGTCACGGGCAGGAATGAAGTACGGTTCGGCGACCACAGCCACGTGGATCGACCACTCTGCCATGCTCTGGAGTAAAAGATCCTGAGCTCTGGCACAGTGATTGATGTTGCCCTGGAGGAAATGGAAATGTGCCATTATTGACATTCCATTCCCTCGGCAACGGTCCTGGACCGGGAGTCGGCCGCGGAGCTACTAGCCTGCGGGGGCGGCGAGGTTTCCCCGGCAGGTTTAGAGCTCCTCTTCTTCTTCTGCTTGGCCTTGCTGGCAGGCGCGCCACAGGCCCCTCCGCCCACTTTGTGTCCCGCTGGCTTCCCTGCAGCCGAACATAAGCTGCAGTTGAGCGCCGCGGAACACTGGGCCGCCTTGTGGCCGGGCTGACCGCAGCGATAACAAAGGTCACTACGGTCAACCTTAGCGGTGCACTTTGCCCGGACGTGCCCCTTCTCCAGGCACCGGAAGCACCGCAAAGCCCGGGGCTGCAGGAGTTTCACCCTCGCTGCAACCCAGCCAACCAGCAATCTGCCGCTTAAGGCGATCTTCTTCGCCGACGCTACAGGGCACCGAACCCAGATCACGCCGAGTCCGGTGGCGTCGGTGCGTATATCGCCGGCCCGTACCTTGTCCGGCGGACACTCTCCGCTTCGGGCAACGGCCGCCAGCACCTCCTCAGAGGTCACGGAGTCGTCCAGACCAGCAATCCGCACCTCTGCGGTTTTCATTGGCCTGGAGACCCGGACGTCCTCAGGGTTGAGGACCTCCCTCATCTTGGCGGCCAGAGCGTCCGCCTTTTCGGCGCTGCCGCTCGCAGCACCAGCCACCTCGAA